CTTAAAATATCGATAGATATCCTAGATTTTTCACTGCAGCTTCTCATTTCTTCTTGTTCATCCAATTCAGCATTCTGGAGATCATGTTCCATCTCTAGAAGGCGGATACTATTTTCGGTTTCTTTCTGTTTCTGTTCAAATTCGAACTGTACTTGTCTCTGTTTCTGTTCCAACTCTTGTTTTTTCTTCTCTTTCAATATTGCTAGCCTCTTCTTTTCTAAGCTAATGAGAGAACAAATGGAACTTCGAGATTTCTTCGTAGACGTCGATGGTGCCGCAGCATCAGAACGTGTGGCTATCACTTCCGTAACAATTTCAGCGGGTACATTATCAGTGCCAAAGTTACCTGGCCACACGAAGTCGACTGATAGATTGCGATTAACACCAGCACATTCTCGTCTAGGTCTCTGATCTTTCTCCATAGTCGTGATCACGTCGGGGTCACCAAATGTTGTTGCCTTGCTCAAAATAACCGTCTGGCCAATAAATAAATAATATTTTCGTCTTTTTAGATTTTATTGACGTTTTGTCTTGACAAGTTATTTTATCTTTTTTTAACAACTTTCTCATTCAACTATTTTTCCAATCAAAACTAAACAATCCATGAAAACAAACAATATGCATATTATACAAGGTCCGTTTCTATCTGGGCTCGCACAACAGCGTATGTTTGGGTGCTGAACCCCATACATGAGAACAGTATTCTGAAACAGACCGTATCTGAGCTTTGTAGATCATGAGAAGCCGTTGAGGTGTAAAGTAGATTTTCGCACAGAACGAGAAACCGAGTTTTTATGAAGCAGCTTTTGCGATGGATTGAAAATGATTTTCCCATGAGAGTATTGCTGATGGTGATACCGAGCATAGATATAGTGGTCTTGGTGGGAATGGTTGGTACCAGACATTGTTATATTAGGCATACTGAGTTCTGCCGTTCTAGAGAAAAAACAGGTTTGAGGTTTGGTGGCGTTGAATTCAACTAGATTGTTAGTTAAATGAGGGAGCAAACGCTCACTTTCGATGCAGTGACTAGATAAAAATAATTAATTATGTGGATCCACTTCGATCTTGTAAAGGGATGAGCTTTCGTCTCACGGTATATTAACGGCCTATTTGGTGAGTTATGTCGGTGACTTAGATTTTGATTATTTAATTGTCGGACAGTTCGAATCTATATGTATAGGCCCATCATCAGCTTAGTAATAAATAAGTTATGAATTCATTTCCATAGTTCAATAACATTCCATGATGCTATTCACATTATTTTAATGAAATACTAAATGATACACAAAGTCATCTCCACGACATGTAATATGATTAACACATCAATGAAAATTGCTACATGTTTCGGACACAATAATAATAATAATTATAATAATAATAATACCTTCATTTTCCATCCGACAATTGTAAATTGTGTTGGATTCGTCATTACAGGTGAAGTAGATATAAAAGTTAAAAAAAAAACACAAATAACTTAAAACTAAACAGTTATACATCTAAAATACATTAAAAATTTACATTTTATACATTTGTAGATATTCCCCTGTAGAATAAAAAAATTGTTTCACTAGGAAATCCTTTAATGATCTTTTGAAACTGAAAAATGTATCATTTCCTTTCAGTTCATCGGGTAATGAATTATAAATCCGGGGAACCATTGGTATAGAAGAATCATAATGAATTTTCGTATTACTAAACGGAATATAAAAGTGATCTTTTTGGCGTGTATTTCGATTTTAATACACATAAAGACAGAATTCAAGGATTAATAACGATGGTAGGGTCAGGATTTTCAAGTTTTTCCAGTGGTCCCTACAAGAGGAGCGTTTTGATATTCCTTCGACTGTGCGTATAATACGTTTCCGTGGAATAAAAACATCTGATGATGCGGTTGATAGGCCCAGAAGCGTACTCGGTATCTTAGTCTGGACTCTATTTGGGCATAATATAATTTCAGGAGTTGGTCACAGTTAAGTAATAGTTTGAGATTCCCAGTAGTATTCGGCAATGGTTATTCCATGTAAGACACTCATCCACGACCTACCCTGAGAACTTGACTTCTCGAACAATGTTTACACAGTGATTATCTGTAGATATGTTCACATCGATACTGGTTTTCTGAGGATTATGGAATCTCATTGATTTTGATTTATCCATGTTCAAACTCAGGAAGTTTGCATTGAACCAATCTTTCAGAATCGAAAAAGTCTCATTACATTTATGTGATAGTAGACTGTCTGATTTATCTGAGATGATCAGCGACGTATCATCCGCATACATAGTGAGAGAAGAATGGTCATCCGAATCATTCAAGTATAAGATGAATAGGACAGGCCCCATATACAGGGTGTCCGGAGATAAAACCGACAAGACTTGTGGGGTTATAGGGACTGTCAATATGATTGCAAAATGCCATAAACCAATGTCCATAACCGCTTCGTTATTGACATACAGAGTGATTTGTGGATTTTGACAAAAAATTCAATCCGCCATATCAAATACAGGGATCAACCGATTAGATTCAAATTTGGTACACGAATTACACTGAGAAGCATCAACGAGTAGCCCTCTGATCGAAACCAATATCAGGACCAGAATGATATTTTGCCCCTATGTTGAGTTATTGTGAGAATAACTCACCCTGTATAACAATAACAAAAAATTGTATAGGAATTTGTTGAAAAATCTTCTGGCACTATCTTAGTTATTCCGCAATTAATTATTATTTTAATTTTTTTCTTTCAAAATTCAATTATTGTCGGATAAAGTACTATCAAAACTGGTAATATAATAAATATTAACGTAACCATGACATGAATATCGTTATTTTCTTCAATCAGTTCGTAAATCGTAGTAAAATAAAATACTCTCATTACCCGAAAAAACTGAAAAATAAATTCGTATCAGGACTGAAATGCGGTTTTCTATGATTATATTCCTGTAAGAATAGATGATTTAGTATAACAATGATCTGATCGCAGATTCGAAATGCACTGAGAAAAGTTAAAAAAAAAATGATCGGATTGAACTTTCAAATAATAAATCCGTATCAGCACCTTATAATGTTTGTGTATAAAAAATACTAGGCTTATGTCAAATTCAGAATTTCATTATGGAAAACCATTGTTCAGCTGTCATCAACGTTTGTTTTATTGGTGTTCATTCATTATTCCAGTGTTTTTAGGATCAAACTATAGTTCTGAGAGTGTGCTTATGATGCCCTTTCATTTCACTTATGAGGAATACGCAGATATTCTATTTGTGTTTGGGCTTTAACTGGTGATGTTTACCTAAATTTCCTGGTCAATACTTGACCGGATCTATTGCAAGGTGTAAATACCTGAGGTATATGGTTTCAGCATGATGGTGCTAGACCTCACTTTTCAGTTCCAGTTAGAAACCATCTCGATGCCAATTACCCCAATAGATGGATTGGCCGTGGAGGTTCTGTAAATTGGCAACCGCTATCCCCTGATCTAACTCAGCTAGATTATTTTTTATGAGGTCATTTAAAGTAAGAAGTTCATAATGAAGACATTTTTTATGGGAAATTACTGCTGCATGTGTTAGTGTTAGAAATAACCCTCAAATAATTCGCAAGTCAGTGAATCATCTAATAGCACGCTCTCAAAAATGTATTGAAGTTGGAGGGCTTCACTTCGAAAATGTTTTGTAATACTGGGTAGTGAAAGTTTTTCACGAATTCGTTGCTTTTGTCATCTTCATTACAAACAGTTATTGTTCGTTGTGTAGTATTCTCATAAATTCAAATTCATTAGTGAGCGAGTATAATTTACGAAAACTTCACTGTTATCCTTCTTTAACAGGTTCTTATACGATTTTTTTAGATTCCGAATCTACGATCAGATTATTGATAACTATTGATGTATTAGGTCAGCTAACATGACCAAACAAAACACTCATTCCAGTCCTGATACGAATTTATTCTTCAGTTTTTTCGGGTTATGCGAATATTTCATTCCACTCCGATTCATGAACTGATCGAAGAAAATATCGACATTCATGTCATGGTTTCGTTAATATACGTACTTTATCCGACAATGATTGATTTTCCAATGAAAAAAATCAAAATAATAATTAATTACGGAAAAACTAAGATGGTGCCAGGAGATTTTTCAACAAATTCCTATACAATTTTCACCGTAGATTGCGAATCTGAGTTGAAATGTTTGGTTATTATGATACAGGGTGAGTTATCCTAACAATAACTCAACATAGGGGAAAAATATTATTTCGCTCCTGATATTGGTTTCGATCAAAGGGCTACATGTTGATGCTTTTTAGTGTAATTCGTGTACGAAATTTGAATCCAATCGGCTAATCCCTGTATTTTATATGGCGGATTTTTTGTCAAAATCCACAAATCACTCTGTATCTCAGTTACGAAGCCGTTTTGGACATTCGTTTATGGCAATTTGCAATCATATTGACAGTCCCTATAACCCCATGAGTTTTGTCGGTTTTATCTCCGGACACCCTGTATATATGTCCATCATCAGCCTCAACATCAGAAATTACATCAATGTCATAGGGATAAAGAGGTTATGTCAACTTCTTGTAAAAACTATAGAAAACTATAATGGAGGGTTTTTATTATGAAAATGTTATGGAGAAACCCAACAAATCCCTAAAAATATGTGTATCAAGGGGAAAACCACCAAGTGCCCCCCCCAACAGGTACACATAGATTGTAGTTGTTACAAGAAGTTGACCTAACCATTTGATCCCCATGACATTAATCTAATTTCAGATGTTAAGGCTGATGATGGACATATATATGTCCGATACATGAACCAATTTCAATTGAAGTGTTAATCACATTGAATATCGTGGAGATAACTTTGTGCATCATTAAGTATTTACTACTTGACTCCACTTTGAGAAACCATGGACCAAAGATTAGTCTTAATGAGTTGCAGAATATGAAAACTTCACGAGAATTTAGGTATCTTGCAATAGTGAAATCATTGACTAACCTTATCCATAAATATTTTGGAAATGGGTTACTTGGCAACGAAGCATTTTTCTTTAACACTGGTTTTGTTACACTGTCGCTGCTGCTGGAAGATCTTCTATTAGGATCGACATTTTCCAATTCTTGCACTTTATTGGATATTATTTCCGCCTCAGGGCAGTGTTTGGCAATTTTGTGCAGCAACGCAGTTGTAGATGATGTCTTGAAAAGGCCCAATGCTCGTCTTCGGAGGCCTATAATCAATGTATTCATTGTCACTATGCAGGATAGAAAAAATTAAGGCATGTCTCTTTCAAGAGATAATTATTTTAATAATGATGACAGTCTTCTAACTTTCCAGATGTTACGGTACGGGCTCGATTTGTACGGTGGCAAAAAAATACAAGATAATTTCTATGATAATGTGAGTTATTATATTGATTTAGCATCTACCTGATTCCTTTAGCCAGGGTTGCCTGTTAGCTCAATCGCGAATAGTAGGTTCGATTCAATCCAAATGGTTTTCAGTGACTGATATAAATGTTTTATACATTATATAAATATGAGATACTAATACTAGATAGTTTATATGAAAGGGGGTCACCCGCTTGCCAGTTGCCCAAACCCTGTGATGCTAAAGAATACCTAAACGGGAAGATAATCAAATTAAAAAAAAAGGAGATACTATTATACACTATATTGAATGTTACTCAACAAATATACGCAGCGGAAGGTATATGGGGGTCTTATAATAGCCTTGACTATATACACACTGAACACTCAAAGATAATAGCCTTGATTATATACTGAATACTCAAAGACAATAGTTAAGGATCGTTGGATCCCGAAATACGCTCCAGATATAGCTATAAATGGCTCACAGAAGTTATAGAATCACGTAACTTTTACACCGATCAGTGTTTCATTAGATAAACCAAAATTGATAAGTAATATAAGATAAATCTCGAACAATATATTATGTGAACGCAAAATATCCTCTGGATGAAAGCTCCGGCCGGAATATATGAGTTGGGTCTCTCATATACGAAAAAAAAAATAATAAAAGGAAAGATCTTATCTTGCGTTTGTTTGGTCCCTCGATGTTATAAAAGGTTTGGTCCCTCAGCGATTACAGGTCGGGGATGAGTTGATTATGTAATCACAGTCTGATTCTGTGATCTAAATATCTCGCGTTGGCAGGTAACAAAGCGAACCCTGTTGAAAGTTGGAGGGTTCTCTGAGTTCTTTTGAAAATGGTCAGGACTGCACCAAGGTGTTATGTTTAACGACGTAAAATCCACTGAAATGCTATTTGTAAGGGTGGTCAACACAAAATATCACTCTACGAATAACGACAATAGCAATTTTTCACCCTAACTAGAGGTGATTTGCCAAAAATCCTCAAAATATCGGGAATAATATGACACACCCTTTACAAAACGAAAATGTCGAATCACTTTCTATCAATCGAATTCTGATCAATCTCTGCGTTGTTGTAGAAGACACGAATTTAAAAAGAAGGACCCGAGAAACCCTATTTAAAAAAAACATCTTTCACTATGGAAATTCGGATAGAACAAGTTGGCAACATTGAGACACCTATCGAAGCATCAAACAAGATTGATTCCCAAATTGACCCATATGATATTTTTGCTCTTGTCTTACCTGTCGCTCACGGCGATAAATTGAAGAAAGACAATTAATTCTAATTTCAAAATATTCGCGTACTCTGTATGCGAATGCGCCGCTTAGGTTTCCGAAGCCGTGCAGTACGGATTATTATCGCTCACCATGATGCGAATATCGAACGTAACAAGACACTGAAACCGTTAAATTCGTGATGGCGAATTGACCTTTATTGCGTGTATTCCGTAAATCATCCGTTTTGACGCTATACAGGGCGATGCAGCGTATTTCGCCCGTAACACAGAATACATCCTAAATACTGAAGAATCAATTCAATTTTTGTATTTTTCTAGTAGGCTGTGCAAAATATCTATCCACAAATAAATTAAGGTTATTAAGAATAATGTATTTTTTTTATTAACGTATGTCATTCTTCATGTCAAAACTGAAGAGTAGGTATAATATCAAAGTGTTAATATTAAAATGATGGTTGTTTGTGATGAAATCTAAGAACTAACGTATAGTAACAACATGTGTTTTTGTAAATTTCGTATTTGCAAGTATACCTACATAATATTATATGGTAAACTGTTGATAAATGATTTTTATTGATTGACTTATGGAATGAACTGGAAATAATCAGAAGTTGAATGTAAATGTCATTTAACCTATAAGCATCCAAAAATTCCCAGTGTAATTTCATGCTCCGTCCCCCAAGGAGGAAGAGAAAATTTCCAAGAAATTTGCTTATTTGCTATGGTAACAATACGAAATACAGGCGTTTAATTAATCGAAAATGTTTGGTGTGAAATTTTCAATAAAAAATCCACTGATATTGAAAACTGCAAAAATATTAGACAATGCAAAAGTTGAATAGAGAAATATATTCTGATGCAAAGGAATGATCAAAGCTGACGTGGTAACAGTGAGACAAGGGAAACAGTCAGACATTTTCGAAGTTCAGTGGTTATAGAGGAGGGTTGGCAACACTGCAAAGTGTTGGAGTATAAAGGCGACGTTGAATAACATTATTTTCATCAAAAAACCAGTTGAGAGATTTCAGCAATGCTGAAGTATTTCTGGACACTAATTTCAGTTCATATATGTGAAAGAAGTTAAACATTTATGTTGATTGTGTTTGGGTCATGTACATATATAAAGTATGAGATGCTCCTGAAATTGCATGAAATTATTTTTAAAGTTGAGGTAAATAACACAGATTTGGCGGCTGAATAGCAATAATGGGTACAATGAGACGAATCCTTGGTGGGAACAGTGTCGCTGACAATAGTACGTGTGAGCCGATAAAAGTCAGTTTTTTGCGAAACAGTTAAAAAAATCTTTGGTAGAAGTCCATATTGCTCAACGTGGAGTGAACTATTTCACAGGAAGGAAGGAATGCTCGAAGTCATCTCCAGAAATCTCAATGATATTTTGAATAAATCATGAGGGACATGTTTCGGTCTTATAAAAGACCATCTTCAGCCTAATTGAAAGGTCTACAATACAAAAAGAACTGATATTGAAGTGAAAGGATTACCTATTTTATGCTAGACTTGGAGTTGAAAAAATTATTTTATTATAATGCTACTATTCCTTGAACTGTCAATGCCCATAGTCGAGAGTTCCAAGGTTCTGAATAAACGGGATCTCAATAAATAATACTCGTTTTGTTTTTTCATGTGTGCTGGATATAAGTTAAATATCATACAATCAGATATTCAAGATTTTGGAACCTCCAAATGTAAGTCAGGGGTCGACATTTTTTTTCGAAACATTAAAACTGAGATTATCTCGTGACCATTTGAGATATTGATGAATAAAGTTTTCATATAATATTCAGCAATCAATTTTTTTTTTACTTCTTCCAACACACTCAAGCTTTAGTGATCACAGTCTCAGTGTCTAATAACATTCAATGATCATCACTAGTTTGAACATGATATACATATACTAATCGAATAATTTTTTTTCAAAAGCAAGCTAATTATTTTTTCATCGGGAATAGTCATTCGAATTTTTGCGTCTCACTGTACCCTCCTCTCCCCGATAAGTTTCAATATTACCTTGTGATAAACAAGCCTCGACTGCTCCACATAAAGATGTCACAGAACCACTTTCTTCATGGATGAATTTTCTGGTGACTGATTCTTCCATTACCTGCTTCACTTCTTTCTTAACTGCAGCGATCAATCGTTGTTTGTAATCTTTCTCTGAAACACAAAACAATCATTTTTCGAGACATGTTGCTAATTCATATTCAGTCTGATGGAATTTCCAGAAAAATATGTAATGCCTACTAGCAAAAAAAAAGAGGGATTATAAGATTCGAATATAGAAATTTCAAAAAATCATTAAAAAACAATAATACATTTTTTCATATATAATACCACAAGTGATAATATTTTGCCGGAAATATTCGGTGATTGTTACGACAGCTTGTTGCCTAGTAATTTCGTCAATGACATTGTTATCAAAACTACGAGCCGTAGGCGAGTAGTTTTGGAACAATGTCATGAGCGAAATTAGAGCAGCAAGCTGGAGTAAGTCAATCGACGAATATTTCCAGGAAAAATAGTATCACGAGTTGTATTCGTATGACTATTTCATGATTGAATGAGACAATATATATATGAAATAGGAAACATAATTTAAGTATATTCCAACTCAAACATAAGAACATAATGATAGTAATGAAATACAGAATTAAATTTTTTAGAAATTAACTACCTACTTATGGTTATTCACAAAGTGATGGAATGTACAATTTTGATGAACAGTATTTTGTTCATTATCTTGGAGATGGTTGCTCTCAAAAGAGTGTATACATTTGTTATCCAATTTGAACAAAATAAATTGAATTTATGTGACATGAAATAATTTTAAAAAAAAGATTGTCGCCGACGGGCTTGAACCACCGACCTTCGTATCACCGCGCAACAACCCTATTAGTTGAGCCACATCACCTGGTAAACTTTATTAGTTACAATAACTTGAATGACTGAAGAAGATTACTTCAAAAAGGAATTTGAATTCTAGTATTGTTGTGTCAGACCGTCAACAAATATGCAAACCTATTAAATTATAGTCTAAGATCCGAACCTAAATCGACCTTCACCGAGCTGATAATAGAACGAAATATATTTTATCATGAATTTAGTATATTAGAAAACATATTAAAAATGGGTTCGCTAAAAAAATCCTGGGCAGACTATTTTTAATTATTTTTCGAAAAATGATTTTTAATTAAATGTTGCAACATCAGGATAATAAAAAAATTTTGTCCTGACTGAAAGTATAAAACGTATAGAATGTGCAGCCGTTGGGTTGTCTACTATTTACCTGGGCGAACTACTGGGTTGTCAGGTAACACAGGTATATTGATGCCAGTTACTTTCACTGGATTGGATAATTAAAAATAAAATATATCATCATAAGCGCTGTTTAATTGCGAACACGTTGATATAGGGTTGTCTGCGAAAATTCCGGTCCTATTATAGGGGTTTGCGAATTTTGAAGATTTTAATTTCAACGCACGTGGAAGTGTGTGACAGAGAGATCCGAGGTAAGTATACTGTGTCATAATAAAGGACCCAACATCGCAGTCGCTTGTGATGGGACCCTGAATAGTAGAAAGTGCGCATTGATGATTTCTTAAAACCAACAGGTTTTATCGGAGATCAAACTCCTTTGAAAATCCAGGACATTGTCGAAATGGGAGCAAATGAGGAAGAATCTAATGAATCAGACGAATTCGAGAGTCAAAATGATACTTCTGATGAATCAGATATTGAATAGAAAATATTTATTAGAATTTATTTTTCATTAATATTATTTTTGTATTTATACTGTTTTTTAATAAAATTTTAAATCGTAATACAAGATGTCTAGTCGATCTTTTTTGTTATTTCATAATTTAAATTTTTGGCGGTCCACTTTGTTTCTATTTCCAGAAAGAGCAAAAAAATTTCAAAGTAAGTAATTGATATTTTTATTGTCTGTTATAGATTATAGATATATTATTATGGTTATAACGCAATATATTGATATTATATTGTTTTTATATATTAGTATTATATTAAATATATATAATTATTATGTAATTAATTAATTTTTTTTTGCCACTGAAATATCAGTTGCTCCAAAATAACACGCACTGTTTACTATATAAAGGGTAGTAGAGGTACCTCTACCCTCCATAGTTTACACACCGAGCATGCGCACTTTCTACTATTCAGGGTCCCATCACAAGCGATTGCGATGTTGGGTCCTTTATTATTACACAGTATACTTACCTCGGATCTCTCTGTCACACACTTCCACGCGCGTTGAAATTAAAATCTTTAAAATTCGCAAACCCCTAATAGGACCGGAATTTTCGCAGACAACCCTATATCAACGTGTTCGCAATTAAACAGCGCTTATGATGATATAATTTTTTTTTAATTATCCAATCCAGTGAAAGTAACTGGCATCGATATACCTGTGTTTACCTGACAACCCAGTAGTTCGCCCAGGTAAATAGTAGACAATCCAACGGCTGCACATTCTATACGTTTTATACTTTCAGTCAGGACAAATTTTTTTTATTATCCTGATGTTGCAACATTTGATTAAACATCATTTTTCGAAAAATAATTAAAAATAGTCTGCCCAGGATTTTTTTAGCGAACCCATTTTTAATATGTTTTCTAATATACTAAATTCATGATAAAACATATTTCGTTCTATTATCAGCTCGGTGAAGGTCGATTTAGGTTCGGATCTTCTACTATTACACATGAAACGTCCAGCCAGAATGAAATTGTCTCGCCTTTCGTATAAAAGGTCTCACTAACGCAAATTATAAGCACAGTTGAGAGAATATTGTATATATTCTCTCAACTGTGTTATAAGTAAATAAAATGAAGTAGGTACTTAGGTTATTGTCTCTTATGTCAGATTTGAATCCAAAGCAATCTTGACCAGACACGATGTCAAAATTTTATCGCTGATAAACGAGGTTTGTTGGTCACGTGTGGGTCAATTCGGCTTCTGTATTGGTAGAGCAAGTCCGATAAAATTTAATAAACAAAAAATATCGCTAGAATACAGAAGAAACCGTGAAAATGGTCGATTCTGATTGGTTCTCGAGATCAAGAGTGGAATAGTCATTCAAATAAATATTCTTTTCTCCTATATCTCACATTTCTCTCCGATATTCAGGTGAAATTTCGACCAAAGCGTAGAATTATGTTTCGCAAAATCAACCTGATATTTTGTTCTGAAAAACATCTATTGTCCTAATCATTATACAGGGAAAAACAAAAGTAACTTTTTTACCCTCAACTTCTTAAAGCCCTGTGGCAAAAGTGAGCAATTAAAATCAGTTTCACTATGTTTAGTATTGAAGTGTGATTCCTTCTCAATACATCTATTCTTTGATTCACGTCAATATCTTCTTTTCAAGAGAAGATACAAAGGTTTCAAGAAAGTATGTCATTTTTAAATTTTAATCAACAATATTCCTCAACGTACGTGAACTCATTCATCACACTGGTCTTTGGTTGCGTAGTAACATTAAAAGTATTGTTCAACAAAGTGTCAGTATTCTGCAATTCCATAATAAACTGTTTTTTTGTGTGTTGAAAATGAGACCCGAGGATGTTGCACGTGCTGTTGCCTTGAATGATAATGGTCGTAGTACACGGTATATTGCAGAATACATAGGCACAGTAAAAAGTACTGTACAAGATGCGATTAGTCGGTTTCGTCAGACTGGTGAGTACATACGACGTAGGGGATCAGGGAGACCATGTGTTACCAATCAACGTGATGACCATCTTATCAATCTAACAGCATTACGAGATCGTGGCACACCATCTACAGTTATGAGTCATAGAATAGATGTACGAGGTACAATAGTTTCTGCACGAACCATTCAGCGTAGATTGAAAGGAAGAGGATTAATGTCCAGAAGACGCACAGGGCGTTTTAATTTTGCTCGTGAACATAGCTACTGGAGAGCCCAAGACTGGGCGAATGTGTTATTCACGGATGAATCGCGTTTTTGTTTGTGCTCCCTTGACAGACGTGAACGTGTCTGGAGGAGGCCGGGTGAACGATTTGCTCAGTGTTGCATATCTCCAACTCCAAGGACATCATTTGGAGGCGGTAATATCATGGTATGGGGAGGAGTATCATCAAATGATCGTTTCATCCGACAATGTTAAGCTGAACATGTGGTACCCTTTGCCGGCTTTGTTGGGCAAAACTTTATTTTAATGCAAGATAATGCCAGGCCTCATGTTGCGCGAATCGTGAGAGAATTCTTGGACGAGGAAAATATTCGGCGATTAGAGTGGCCCCCGCGTAGTCCCGACCTGAATGCTATTGAGCACGTTTGGGACATGCTGGGTGGACGTGTTCGCAATCGCCACCCAGAATCATTACCGGATTTGCGGACAGCCCTCCTAGAAGAATGGTAAAATATTCCGCAAGAGGCCATCGACACTGCATTGAGAGTATACCTCGTCGCATAGAGGAAGTACTAAGAGAACGCGGTGGCAATACGCGATATTGATTTTTAGTTGTTTGTTTTTCATTTCGTGTTGTTAATGTTTTTGTAAGTTCTGAATAATTGTTGATGAATATAAAAAATGCCATATTTTCTTGAAACACTTGCATCTTCTCTTCAAGAAAAGATATCGACGTGATTTATGAACCATTTTGTTAAGAAGGAATCACACTTCAATACTAAGCATAATTGAACTGATTTTAATAGCTCACTTTTGCCACAGGGCGTTAAGAAGTTGAGGGTAAAAAAGTTACTTTTGTTTTTCCCTGTATAATGATTAGGACAATAGATGTTTTTCGGAACAAAATATCAGGCTGATTTTGCGAAACATAATTCTACGCATTGGTTGAAATTTCATCGAAATCGGAAGAGGATTACGAAAGTTACAGGGCGAACAATTTTACTAAAAATTTCACTGTCCGGAATTTATTGTCGGGGAGTGTATATTATGTTTCAGTCAAAACGTCTATCACGTCTTGAACTTGTGACCTTGGGGAGAGTTGTACATTTCCAAGATTATCTGAAGGTACATAGATGATAATAGTTTATTTTAATGCATATGACAAACTGTCAGACGACGCTATAGTACACAAACGTAGTTATCCTCAAAATCAAATCTCAAACGATTTCGGCAACATTCACATCATCAGGAGAGATTATGATAAAAAATCTCTACAGAAGATTGAAGAAGAGGTGACAATTTCATCAAAATATTATTGTATCCGAAATATTCATGAAGATTACCGCGATAAACATAAATGCATATGACAGCCTAGGTGCCTCCTCTATAACATAGGGTTGACATATGTGAACGTGAACGGTATAAGGTTGTCAACCATAGTAACCCGTCCTTACCGTTGTTAATATGTATTATAATGTATATTTGATAGGTATATATTATTGTCTGAAAGTTATATTATTATTTGTCTATTTTATTTTCATTCGGATAAAACATCTCATTAATTTCGGCATAAGTAGCTTATGAAAAAATTATATAACTTCCATAACATAATAAAATACCTATAACAGCATAATTATCAGAAAACCATAGCTAATTTTTATGAAATATTGGATATTGTAAGGTTCAATATACAAATTGAAGAATTAATATGAATTATTTCAAGATGAACGTGACGGCATCACAGTTTCGTAGTAGACGAGCAATAACCGTTGAACAAAATGTCATTTGTCATTTTTGTTGATGGTTTCATGGCTTTTTCCAGACAGCACAGAATATTCTATGAATGTTCTTAGAACGTTCAAAACATACCTCCTTCAGAATATTCCAAAGAATATTCATAGAATATAATGAGGACGTTCTGAATATTCATCCAATGTTTTACGAGCATATTCATAGAACATTTCATCTAAATATCCTAGGCGAACAGTCCTAGAATATCCCATTATATTCTATGAATGTTATTCAAGAATGATCATAGAATGTATTAGAATATTCTAGGTATGTTCATAGAATATATTATTAAGATACTACCGTTTTTGAGCTACAAGGAGTAAAATTTTTCAGAAAAAAATAGTTCTCATTATTCAAAATATTTTTTGCTGATTTTAATAAAAAATGTACCGCTCATTTTTCCAATCACTTTCTTCCTATCCGTTAGGGGCGCTGAAACTCATATATGCTTTCAAACATCGTGATATTCGTGAAGCATCCGTGATCCGTGTATAGTATATCTGTATAAATGAGTGTTTGAATTGTAACAGTTTGGGTTGTTTTTGTAAAGCGTGAGAAATAAATATCACCCTAATGGTGACTCTTGGAACATACAATTATGAACATAAATATGTTCCTCCTGTATCGATCCATATCGATCGTTGAAATATTTTACTTGCGCTTTCAGATACTCTGTATACTGATAATATTCCTAGATCATCCTGAGGATGTTGTCGAGCAGATTATGAGGACGTTCCCTGAATATTCTGACGGTACTGACAATATCCTGAATATATATTTTGAGAATGTTCTGAAAAATATTATGAGAACGTTCTTGGAATGTGAATTTTCCTCCCATTTGCATGTTCTTTTAGAATATTCTCAGAACGTTCAGTGCACCCTGTGAGAACATTCTGAGAATATTCGAAATGTTCCACAGAAATATTCTAAGAACGTTCTCAGAATCACTATGTGCTGTCTGGTTTGTGTGCTTTGATTTAGGTGTTTCAGTAACTCATTTGATTTTATAAATTTCAAGCAAACTATTTGGTGAATAATTATTGTTCGACAGAGATGAAATTTGTGAAAATAAATTACAAATATCCTAACCTAACATATCATAGGTAAGTATATAAGTAGGTAGAAATTTGGTCCAGTAGCGTTCTTGTTTGAGGCTTGCTTTTGTTGATGAAAAGCAAGTTTAAAATATTGGAAATATCAAATATCCTTACTAGGATGTCAACAAAATGACGTTATATTATATTTATATATATTTAATATTTTATAGTATATACGTAATATGTGTGGTAAGAAGCATATTACGCACGAATGGAAAAGTTACGCACGTAACCGCGGAGCGGCGAGAGCGTAATTCCATGAGTGCGTAATTGCTTTACCACACGCATTACGTACTATACTTCACCTACTGCCATATAGTACATGAAAAGTTTGGAAAAACTGAATTATAAATCTTCACAGTTATGTCATCCTCTGTTGACGGCGATTACGCGATCATGACATACCTATACTGGCGGAATAAACCTGTGCGATGTGCTTACTGTGCCTAAAGAGCTACTTACTGAGGCTGTATCTCGTGTGTTCTTCCCTACTTTCTATAGTGGTCGTAGGTAAAATATATTGAATACTAATAGCAATTCTCTATCAATGATTTCATGAAGTTATCCCCCCACCATTCACAATTTCATTCATTTTTTCTTGGCGTTAGGATCGTTGGATAGCATTGAAGATTGAAGTTGGCATATACGTTTCAATGATTCTTGAATGAACAGCGGTGTCTATAGCTATTGTTATCTGGCTGAAGTAGATACCATATAACTATAAAATTTAAATCATTCTCATTCATTCATTCAAACGAGAATCAGTTCAATCCTTACTATTATTGCAATTAGAATTTATATCTATTAATGAAATTCCTAAAATTTGTATCTGTCATTCCTGTTATGAACATATATGTGTAGTTTCTTAGGAACAATAAAGATGAAAATGAAATCCTGTACTCACCACTCTGACACATTTTGTTCGACCGTATTATCACAGATACCCAGAAACGAAATAATGTCCGAACAGCTGAAACTTTCTGATAAGACCGGAAGCGCGGAAACGATCGATTGTTGAATTCGTCGCTCGTATAAAATTATTCACTCGGAAGATATCCAAAGGCGATCGACTGCAAGCCCGGGTGGCGGCAATAAGCCACGTCCATCATCGTATATTTCATTCGATATATTTGTCTACCTTGAAATTGAATAATCGATCGCGGACGCACCTCTTGCGCAAGGCAGGGCGCGGATGTGTGCGGGTACAGGGTGGACCAGATTCGATGGTTTTTGTGGTTTCGACACTGAGACAGATAAAAAATAGGCTGACTGGTAAAGAACGCCCCATTTTGCTTTTCATGAAAAATATCCCTAATTCAATTAGCATCAAATCTGATGAGCAAATAATGGAGTATGGTTCATCTGAATATACAGGGTGTTACATAAGTACGTTAAAATATTCGAGTTTATATAAACAATATCATGGTTCCATATCAGCTAATGATGATTGACATGATTGAACAGTTCGAACAATTGTGACATTTGTAACATTGGGAAGTTGATAAAAAATGGAAATCAAAACTGTATTCGTACATATATACTTATACCTATACCAAAGCCGGCTAATTTCATCGATAACAAATTGAAATAATTATACTAAATATTCCTCAATAAGATTACCAGAGTACCTGCTTAACTTCATGAACCATGTAATAAACGACAAAATCAAAATATATCTCTTCAGCATATTTATTGCTGAATTTATTTGTTATACCAGCCGATAGATGGCGGTACAACTACGTTGCTAAGAGTTACTAACAGCCGTCGGCCCAGCGCCAATAAATATGAGCCTCAAACAACTGTTATCATCTTCCATTAGTTATTGGACCGCACCGACCATATATTTTCGGATTTGGATTGTTACTTGATATCTGGAAATAGGTCGGCCATTTTCAGAATTTCAGATTGAAAATAATTCATACCGTGTCATCCATTACTGTCATCAAACAAAAAACATTCTATATAAAAGTTTCTTTAAGATGTTCCATATCAAGTACCCTGAATGTCTCTGGTACATCCCGTATCATCCCACAAACATTCTGATGGGATGTTTATAAGACATCGCAATGCTGACACGGGTGTTGCCAGCAACATCCCAAGAATGTCCCAAGGAATATAGGGATTTTCTAGAGATGTTCCTATCATCCCATATGGATGTTTCTACGACGTCTTACAGATGTTATTGTGTTATTAGGGGACACTGTCATTATTTATTTCTAATTGCAATTAACTATTCCCACACCCTTTTCAAGTAAAAAAGGTACACTTTCTCAACAACATTGGAGGTGATCATTTTCGGGATATTTACAATTGACAATGAACTAGCTGAGAACATTACAAAATTCAAGTATGTGTATGTGGTAAGTCTCGTCAAAATAAACTACTTATGAAAAATATCCTCGAAGTAATTGAATTAAACAGTAAATTTTACAGAATATTATGCTCTTAAATAACAGTGGCCAAATATTTCGAAAAATACTAGTCCGATTCTGGAACGGTACAGGGTGGAAAAAATCGATTGTTTTTGTGATTTCAATATTAAAACACAATAAGAATAGTCTGACTGGCAAAAAACGCCCCATTCTGCTACTCATAAAAAATATTAAAAAATTCCATCGAACTAATTTAATTAGCATCAAATCTGATGAGCAAATGGAGTGTGGTCCATTTAAATATACAGGGTGTAACATAAGTACGTTGAAAAATTCAAGGGACGTATTCCTGAGACAATTTTAAGGAAAAAAGTCTATATAAACTTGTGCAGAGAAATGTTTCGTTTCAGAGATAGAGGCTGTTGAAATAGATTTTTTTGTTCGCTTTTTTTGAAATAACTTCTGCAAAAAAAAAGTAATTTGTACGGAATTTGGCACTCGGTGATTTTTTGGTAAATGTGATTCTCAGCAACAAACTGATCAAGGCATTTCTGTAGTGGGCCAAACACTAACCAATCAAATTCAAATGAGAAACTACGTTTTTCAAGATGTTGCGGCATCTGCTAAATCACAGCATGCATCAAACAAAATTGCCCTTTCAATTTTGATATTTACCATCGTTAATGTTTTAGTTATTGTTATTTAAATGTTCTTCAGATAAGTTTACTATTATATCGATGAAAAAAAATCTATTTCATTATTTTTCAGTGCATGAAAATAGCGTGCGGAAAAGTTACTTTACCGCACTAACGCTGAAAACTTACTTTTCCGCAAGATTTTTGTATTTTTGAAAATAAAGATATTTAGGACTAACTAAATGATCCATGTAACTATTCTGTCTTACGTGTCATTTTGTAGCATCATTATAAAGTATTGTTGATTGAAAACCTTTCTTTTTTAATAAATAATATGGACAAAAACTTACTTTGTTTACATCATGCCATGAACGGAGACAACTATGAAAAAAGAATCAACTTTAGCAAGTTTAGCAATACAAACGAACAGGCCTAGGGTGTCCGGAAATCATGCGCAAAGAATCAAGGGGGTGATTCTGCATAAGAAAACATGGAATTTATTTCATATACACTTGGGTCCGGAAATGCATAGTTTTCAAGATACAGTGTGTTGAACTTTTAGGAAAAAATCGGGGTTTTATGAATATCTCAAATATCCTTCCACTGATTCTCTTGAAATTTGGCAATGATATTCTTTGTCATGAGGGGCCGATTTAGCCATAATTAAATTGAAATTGTGAAATCACTGACGTCCCGGGGGCACCCTACCGAATATTATTGTCAATAAAATGTGCGCCACTGATTTTTTTGAATTCTATATATCTTCATATCCTAAAGATTAACTAAAAATACAACATTTTGGTTCTCTGAATTGTTTTGCTATTTTGCTGCGTTTCCGTGGAAACAATAAATACCAATTCATTGTATAAATTTGTGCAGAATATTGCTTCAAAAACAGGAGTGAAATCAAATAATGTTCGATCCATGTCCATAGACGTAGAATAAGTATAAAGATTCATTTTCTTCACATATTTTATAATACATATTTGACACACTTTGTATTATCGAAAACTACGTCTTCCTGGACCGAGAATACATAGTTCTCAATATACAGAGTATAGAGTGTGTCATCAAAAAATATTTGAAGAAAATGAATCTTCAAACTTATTCTATGTCTATGGACATTGATCACGCATTTATTTTCACCCCAGTTTTTGAAGGAATTTTTTGGCACAAATTTATGCAATAAATTGGTATTTATTTTTTTCCATGTAAATGAAGCACATTATCAAAACAATTCAGGAGACCAATATGTTGTATTTTTAGTTGGTCAATAGGATTTGAAGATATAGAGTTCAAAAAAATCAGTGGCGCACATTTTATTGACAATAATATTCGGTAGGTTGCCCCCCGGGACGCCACTGGATTCCATAATTCCAATTGAATTATGGCTATATCAGCCCCTCATGACAAAAAATATCATTGCCAAATTTCCATAAAATCGGTGGAAGGACATTTGAGATATACATAAAAAACCGATCTTTTTTAAAAAATTCAACACACTGTATGTTGAAAAGTATGCATTTCCGGACCCACGTACATATAAAATTAATTTCTCATTTTAGAATGTAGAAATCACCCCTTAAATTTTTTGCGCATAATTTCCGGACACCCTGTATGGAATTTCAATGTTCTGGTGATTCAGAGTGTTTTAAAAAAGGTGGCCCCGTTGTAAGGATAAATAGAACACAGCAAAATAAGGTTAACTCAATACGAAAATTTTTTAACGGCATGCGTATTCAAGATTCAATGTGCTGAAAGAAAATGTATACAACTTTTTAATTTTTTCGTGTTGAAACTATTAGCAACATTGCAAAAAATTGAGCATGAATATGTTTTGGCAGCAGACACATTGCAAGAATTTGTTTTCATATCGGACAAAAAGGTACACCTGGTAAAACTCGATAGACAATTAACCATGAAACCAAAAGCACTACGGTTGTTCCCATGAAAAATCTATATTTTTCCTGTCTGATGATGAACATTAACTCAGGCATTTAGAATTAGAGCAATGAAGGTACAGTGAATATGTATTAGAGAATAGAACTTATAAATTCGACAATCACACAATTAGTGATTCCACAAAATCTTCGAAAGATACCAAGGAATTTGCTTACCTCGTGTTTACTGCAGATGGCGGCTCAGTTTCTGAAATGGGTCAGTATCGAGAGACATTTTCATATGATTGCTGTTTTTTTTTCGGGTGTTTTTGTACTCAACGACTGTGTCCAAATCTCGAGTTTACTGAAAATATTGGTAACCGAAAATTAATATTCAATATCATTAGCGAATCCATTCTCATAATTTTAGGATTTAGTTCACAAATTCTTACCATTGGTATCACAAACTATGAGATCTAACAATTATGTTAACTTGGTCACATTGGCAAAGCTATAACAAATGCAATTGAGGTCTCAATTCGAAGCTAACTGCGCATATTTAAAAAACTGTTGACCGTATATTAATTATTCAGTGGGTTGTTCCAGAAAGTGCATCCCAAAAACTTGGTTTTCTGTTTCGGGCCAGGAGCTATTTCACTTCCAGTCAGCTGCTTATGATCTAAACTACTCAACACTAATTTCGTCGCACACCAAAATGTCGCCCCTGTTATAATTTGAATAACTTTTTTCAGTTTAGAACAATTTGAATTTGGTTCACACTGTTCGATAGCCCAGTCCTTCAGCTATAATCTCGTATTTCATTGAAACATAAGGGTATTCACATAAAATCTCTACATGGTGTTTTCCGACACTGTGCGAAATTTCAGAATATTCAAAAGGCTCTCAAATGGTGAAGAAAATTGTTTTCTAAACTTCGACAACAGAGGCATGAAGATGATCTCATTACCTCAAGATATTTCGCGAATCAACTTCCTATCTCTCTTATTTACAGAGTGATCTCAAAAAATCAACTTTTTGGTTTTGTACCAATAACTTTTTTCCACGTCAACCGATTTTCGAAATCTTAGGCTCATTTTGAAGAAAAAACTTCAGATGAAGAGATCTGAATATCAGAATTGACTCAAGATGGCTATCAAAGATCTACAGTTTTCTTGAAAGTGACCCAAATCTGGAACGCCCTTCGAATCTTGGTTGGGAGGAGAATTGAATGAAAATCAACTTGTTCTCGGAAAAACAATTCATTCTGGATGCGTCCAAATTTTCCTCGCTCTCAGTAGTCAAGAATTGTGCGTGAGAAAACACAATTGAAACATGTTCTTGCAAAAACATTGGATCATTTCTCCTCTGTAATGCATGGCCCGCCGTAACCAACGTTACAAGAATCACAATGAATGACTGACAAACTTGACCAGCTGAGGCTCACCATGAAAGGTATACCAACAAGAACAACGGATTTTGATTTTTTCAATGAAGTGATTTTTTTACCAGTTGTCACGTACATAACATGC